TCTTGACAGCTAGCCTGCCATCTCACAGGCGACTCCCTGAGCCATTGTCTCCTGAGGCTGCAGGCCCCTGTTCACTCCCTCCATAGCTCTCACATGACCATGTCTTTGCTCTGTTGTTTCCTCTGCCTAGGATCCCACTCACTGGTAAATTTCTCCCCACCCTCCAAGTTCCAGATGAAGGGCCATCTCCACTGTCCAGACCCCTCCCTCCATCCCGAGGTCTCACTTCTGAGAGCCCACCACACCCCCTATGCCTCTCCCTAAAGCCTGAACCATGCTGCACTCTGGTCACTCATTGCTGTGGACTGAGTCAATACCTCAGAGTGTGACTGTATTTGGAGACAGGAAATTTAAAGAAGTATTATAATTAAGTTAAAATGAGACTGTTAGTGTGGGCCCTAGTCCTATATGACTCGTGTCCTTATAAAAAAGGAGACCAGGACACAGGAGATTCCTGGGGCACATATACAAGGGGAAAGGCCGTGTGAGAACCCAGGGAGAAGGTGACAAGCCCAATAGAGAGGCCTCTGAGAAAGCAGCCCTGCTGACACCTGGATGGCAGACGTCCGGCTTCTGAAACTGGACAGTACATTTCTGCTGTTTAAGCTACCTGGTCTGCGGAGATTTGTTCTGGCAGCCCTAGTAGACTAGTACACTCGTGAGCAGTTCCTCTTCCCTGAGAGATGGTCTGGGTGGGGCTACCTGGCTGGACCAGAAAAAGCACTGTTGCCCTTGGCCACTGTGATTAGTTTGGGATGGGCACACAACCAAAAGTAAAGCCCCATTAGTTGGTCCAATCTGAGTGAATCTTAGAACTTCTGCAAGTGCTGCTAGAGAAAGGCCAAGGCTCTTTCTGGGGGTGCTTGAACCTGGAAGTTGTGTCACTGCAGGTGCAAAGGCCGTCCTGCTGGTCCTGGGGTTGATGGATGCCAATGCTACCTCTGCTCCTGTCCATTTCGAAAGTCAGCACTATGCCCTGGCTTTCCAGTTCCTTAAGCATACATAAGTCCCCCTTTTACCAGAGGTGGCTTGAATTGGGGTTCAATTTCTAACATGCAACGGGACTTTACCTGGTACATGCCCATTGCTGCCCCTCAGCTCTATGCAGGAAACCTGAACACTCAGAAGGGAGCCAAGCATGGGATAAAGAACTCTTCCTCTTCAGTCACAGAGCTCCAGCTGGTCTCATGTCCACTCTGAATACAAGATTACACTTCCCAGCTTCTCTTGCAGCTAGATGTGGCCATGTGACTAAGTTCTGGCCAATGATATGTAAGCAGAAGTATGGGGTAGAACTTTGGGAAGTTTCTCTTTAAAGGCAGACAATGGGTCCTGGTGTTCAAAGTCAGGACTTGATGGCCACAGCTCCAAAGGCCAGATCCTCACCCCTGCAAGACAGCCGTTGTTAGCTGGTCATTCCCAGAAAGTGGCAACCCCATGGGGGTGAGAGCACTGAGGAGGAGCCCAGTGACCCTAAATGTGATGCTTGCTTCCTGATGTCCTGGAGCAGGACACCTTTCTACATATGAGGAAACCTAAGCTCAGGGCGGTTTCAGACTGTCGGGGCTCTCATCTTGATTCATCTTCCTCTTCCCACTGTGACTACCCTAGAAGTCCAGACCAGAGTGACTCCCTCCTTCCTTAGCAGGCCTTTAGGTTGTCACCCTCCCTCCCTCCTAGCTGGCCCTTAGTTTGTCACTCTCCCTCCTTCCTGGCTGGTGGCTTTCAAAGCAGGTCTCCATGGCTATCACTGAGGCTGAGCCACCATCACCTCCTTCCTGGAAGACTCAACCAGACTCCTGACTCCCACTGCCATCCTACCCTGCAGTTCATGCTTTTCCCAGCAGCCAGAGTGATGATGCTAAACCCGAAGTCAGATGCTGTCCCTCCCTTATTGTCTCCCCTTCAGAAGGTCTCCATTCCCATGAAGGGAAATCCAGATCCCCTGCCCTGGCCTGAGGGATACTGCACCATCCAGCTCCTGGCTCCCTGAGCCTTCCCCTTCAGCCTTCCTCACTCTACTCCAGCCACCCCAGGCCCCTCGCTGTTCCTCAAGCCACCCCCAAGCACGTTCCACCTCAGGGCCTTTGCACCTACTGTTCCCTTTGCCTGACATGTTCTTCCCCCAGACATGCCCATAGCTCACCTCCCTCACAAATCCAGCGCCCTTCCCTGGCCACACACACTGGAACAGGAGCCTCCAGCCACAATGGACACCCAATAACTTGGTGAATGCATGAATAAATCAACACGTATTAAAATGAATGAATGACCTTATACCCACTCTTTCATGAATCTCCTAAAATTCCTATAAGGTTGAATGGATTCCTATTCCTATTGGGGGGTATGGATTCAACCAGAGACATGACCCTCATTGGGAGTCCTGAATGCAAGTCAATGCATAATATATGCATATCAACATATATTATGTTGCCACTTTTGTGGGCCAAAAATCATTTCACAGTGGCAATTTCATAAGTTTAACCTATCCTCTGGCAGTCACTCCCACACTCAAAATCCTCCAACGGCTCCTGCTCAGAAATTCAAACTTGTTAAATTGACCCTACATACCTCCTGGCTCCAGCTCCTACTTCCTTCCAGGCTCCCCAGACCAACTGCCCTGCATCGCTATCCCAAGGATTTTCTTGGGCACCTCTCTTTGCTGGAATTCCACCAGCCACCTCTGCCTGCCAAGCCCACTAGAATGCCTCTTGCCACTGGCCTCTGCTCCTCCCTGGTGTGCACTGGCAGTATTCCTCCTCAGCCTCACTTCTACAACCATGGCCAGCTGGGGGCTGCTCAACAGGAGGGGATCCTTGTCCAGGCACTGCCCTGCACTGTAGCCCTCCTGCTGCGCCCCAGACCTCTGTGGGGACTATTCCAATGCCAGCCGATATACTGACTGTTCTGAGACTGAAAGTTATGCTGGAATGAACCCAGTCCTGAGAGGCCCTGCCACTCACTTTTGTTGACTTTGAGCAAGTCCCTTTTGAGCCTCAGTCTCCTCATCTATAACATCTTACATATCAGAAGTCACAAATTTAAAACAATGCTGGAACCCATGCCTGGGTCCCAGGAATGGGGTGTGTGTGTGTGTGTGTGTGTGTGTGAGAGATATCTGAGTAGAAGAAAGCACAAAAACCAAAAACTACAAGTGACAAGCAAGGGGAAGCTCACAAGACAGATTAGGCAACCTTAACTGGAGTCTCAGTGTTGATGCCACTCACTATGTGACCTGGGACAGTCCCATTCTCTCTCTGGGCCTCTGTTTCCACCTAAAAAGTGAGCCCTGGAATTGGGAAGAGGGAGAAGCAGGGCAGATGGTGCAAGGCAAAAGTCTACACAACAAAGATCCTGGAAAAGGCTTACCTCCGGAAAGGTCTCTGCCAACTTCACCAGTGGCCCAAAAAACTGGTTGCTGGTTTGCACCTCTGTCAATAAACTATTGGGGTGGTATGGATTCAACCAGAGACCTGGCCCTCACTGGGAGTCCTGAATGCAAGTCGATGCACCTGCAGGACCCCATACTGAGATCCTGTCTGCAGTTCTGTAAGGTGCAAATAAGAAGGCACTCACAGAATATGGTGACAAAACCAGGCCTGCTGCAGGGATGGGTAAGGCCTTCCAAAAGGCAATGGGAAGAAAGTGTTCAGTGGCAAGCATGGGAGTGAAGCCCCTGCCCTCATGAAGCTGACATTGCAAACCAGTTCAGAATGGTTTCAGACAGTGTGAAGTGCTTGGCTGATGGGATGGAACTTTGAGGTGAGAGGGGACTTTTGACAAGGTTGCAAAGGTCTAGAAGACCTGGACAGGGTCAGGGGCACGGGGCTGAGGAAAGGAGCTAAGGCAGAAGAAATAGCTGGTGTCCAGCATGGTGTGTTTGGGAAAAAGAACAAGGCTGAGTGAGCAGGTGAAGAGGGAAGATGGAAGCAGAGGTCAGCAGCAGCTAGATGAGCAGTGGGGATTTCATTCTGATGCAAGAAAGCCTCCAGAGGGGTTTAAGCAGCACAGTGACATGATCTGATTTCCATGTAAAAGGATGATCCTGCCTGCTGGGTGCAGAAGGGACTGCAGGATGGCCAGGAGCAACAGGGAAATGAGATGGGGGAGCATGGGACAACCTGGGAGCCCAGACGTGACAGCAGGGTGACCTAAGCAGGAGGTGGCAGGGATGCCCAAAGATATCCGAGGCTGACCTGGCTTTCAGGGAAGTTCACAGTGCAGAAGCCAGCCTGTGGCAATTTCTGGTCCCCTAATGCACATGCACACAAGCCAGAAGACACACAGCATGGCCTCCTACCACTGACCAGGGCCTCCTGGAGACCAGCATTGCTCTCTCTGACCCTTTTCCACCAGACTTTTGTTATAATTGCTTCAGAAGTTAAATGTGTGGCTCAAAACTCTACATGTATGTATGTGTCTGCACGCACCATTCCCATAAAACAGTTTCAAAGTCAAAAGCCCACAGGGATCAAGCGGATCATGTCACAGGATTGCACAGGCTGGGCAGCAGTAGGGAGTGTTGGGGACCGTGGCAGTGAATGGGTTGCCCATTCACTGCTACAACTAAAGGGAGCTGTGTTCTCAGTTTCAGGTCTTTGCAACCATGTGGGCACACATGTAAATTATGAGTAGATCTGCCAACTTTTCAAAAGAAACCGGAAATTCCTATATTTTAGGTGAAACAAGTTTTAAAATCTGGGCTTCAATTCAAAACACAGCATCAGCACTGTATCAGAGGTTAGCATTTGGGTCACTGGTTGCTGGTTTGCACCTCCGTCAATAAACGATTGAGGGGGTATGGATTCAACCAGAGACCTGACCCTCAATGGGAGTCCTGAATGCAAGTCAATGCACATGCAGGACCCCACACTGAAGGACATTCTAGTAGGGGCAGGCAACGGAGTTCCACAGGGCACCTGAGAGTATTCTGGTGTCCCTATAGCCTGATGTCTCTATAACCTGTAAGACTCTGCTGGGGTGTTTGGGTGAGCACATACCCACTTTCAGCTCCTTCCCAAAGACGGTGCGCTCTCCCAGTGCAGAGCAGTTCCAGCGGCCATTGCGGAACTGAAACTGACACTCGTCCAGTCCCATTTGCGAGCCTTCTCCTATGACGATGATGGCGTCGGGCCGGCTCTGGCAGATCGCCCGCTGTCTAGGAGCTAGGCCTGGGATCTTGTTACAGATGATGCTTGCGCCCAGAGCTACCACTGTGGAGAAGCCACTGGAGGGAGAGACACAGAGAGATGGAGCATTAGGCCAGCAAGGCAGCATGGACTAGGAACCCTTCCTAGGTGTCCAGCACTGGCCACCCCACTGCCCCCAGCAGTGGTCTCCCAACTTTTTTGATCCTGCACCCCTAACTCATTTCCATTCGAATAGAAACCCTATAATTTCTACATAGGCTCTTGTATCAATGCGTATACTCAATATCAGTGAAACACACACACTTGATTTTTGTTTTAGAAACAAGAAAAGATGATGTATGTCACAAATATTACATTGAGTGAAAAAGGCAAGTTGCCTTTGAGTTTATGGTAGGATGCAATTGAGATGAAGTTCAAAAGCATGCAAAAGAAACCCTATGTTGCTAGGGAATCATCTCTTTGGTAAAATTGTAAAGGCAAGCAAGGAAATGATGACTTCAAAGTCTCATGCAGCAGGTGCCTCTGAAGGAGTGATGGGTGTGCAGATGTTCACTTTAAAAAAATCTGTTTTTTAATGTATATGTAACATATACTCTCATGTATGTATATGTTTTATTATTGAAAAAAACCTTAAAAAGTAGTTTTAAGTAGAAGTCCTGGCATTTTCTTCCTGCTGTCAATGGAGTACACGTATCCCACTCCGGGCATGACTGGCTTAGAGGATGTGTGTGACTATTATGAGGGCAATTCCTATCTTCTTCAACTATTCACTGACATGTATCAGATACCCATCATGTGCCAGGTACCATGCTAGGAGACAGCTGTGCACCTGACAGGCAAGGCCCTGCCCTCAAGGAACTAGGGAGGGTGACAACACAGGTGTCACAAATGAATAAAACAGGCCATCTCTGACAATGATATGTACTATGAAGAAAGTAAAGGAAGATGCTGGGATGGCAACCAGGGTGTGCAGGTGGTGAGGAAAGTGAGGGCCACTTTAGTTGAGGTGATCAAGGAGGACTTCCTTGAGGAGGTGACATCAGAACAGAACAGAGATCTGAATTGCCAGGAGGCATCTGTGGGAAAATCTGGAGAAGGGTATTCTGTGCAGAGGGAACAGAAAATGCAAAGTTCTAGGAGACAAGCTCGAGGTCTTCAAGGAATAGAAAGAACCCATGGAAACTGCTACAAAACCAGGGCTTGAGATGCAGGAAGATCCTGGGGAGAGGAGATGGCTGAGGGCTGGCATTTTCTCAGGTGCATCAGGCAGCACGAGGAAGCACTGAAGGGTGTAAGCACGACCTTGACATGACCTGGTGGTCCCCGCTCCATGGAAGAAAGACCTGCGGGGTGCCAGAGCAGGAGCAGAGGGACCGGGCAGGTTAGGGTTGGTGATGGCTTGGCTGGTGGCAGTCGTAGGGCTGCAGGTAGAGCCACTGGGCAAGTGCCTCGTCCTGGGGCTCAGCTATGGGCAGTTGTTCTGGAGTTGCAATTTGTTAGAGGGAGGTTCTCCTGTACCAATAACTCGAGGAGGTGACGTGGACCCATGCCCTCCAAGAGCACAACTGATCACTCCTGCCACTTCCCTAGGCTCCTGCCACATGCCAGCCTTCTCCCTGCAGCAGGCACTCTGTCCTTGCTGGCCTCTCTCCCTGGAAGTGCTCTCACCCCTGATCTTCACAAGCTTGGCTTCTTGTCATTATTCACATGACCTCAAGGGTCACCTCCCTGACTAGCCCAGCTAAGGGAGCCTCCCTCCCTTCCCTTCCCCTAATAAATTTCCATCACAATCTCTGTTTTGTTTACTGGATATTCTTGATTTCTCATGTTCTACTTTCATGTTTTCATGTATGTGTTTTTAATTTGCATGCTCACTTGATCACTTGTCTTCTTCCTGAGAGGATGAGCTCCCTGCGGGCAGGGAGGCTGTCTGCTGGTTCACTAAATGTCTACCAAATAAATGGATTGTGGCACTTCAAAGATGTGGCTCCGGGTGAGTACCTATTACATGGCAGGTGCCCCCAAATATGCATCAAATGCATCAGTAAACTTGGGCAGTGTCCCTACTATGTGCCAAGGCAGTATGGTGGGTGCTGCCACAAACAGCAGCTCATGTGACCTTTCCACACAGTCCTGTGGGGCAAGAATCATCATATAAATTTCAAATATCTGAAAATTGAGGCTCACAGAGGTTGGGACCCAGAGGAAGGTTCTCAGCTAGCAGGTGTTGGAGGTGGGACAGCCTGGCTTTGCATCTGCATCTCAGCCCTAAACCAGAGTCTAACACACACTAGAATGCTGGGAATGTCTGAGGAAGCAGCAGCGTGAGAAGATTAAGTGGAGATGCTTTGGCATCATTTGTCAGGAGGACCCTCTGAGCACCTAGCTGGCCACCAGGAAATTTCTACACCAGCAGAGAGTGGATGGATTGGCATACTGGGGCCAAAAACTCATAGGTACAATAGACTAGCCCCTAAGGGTCTGGTCTAGTTTCCCATCTCAGCTTTCCTCACTTATTAGTTGTGCGATCTTAGGCAAGTTTCCTTCCTTCTGCACTTCAGTTTCTCCATGGCTAAATTAGGGTATTGATAACTAGTCTCCACCTAATTGGCTGCTATGAAAACCGCATTTGCTAGAACATGGAAAGTGCTTAGAAGGTGCCAGGCACATAGTGAGTGCCCATAAATGTGGCGGCGGTGTTGTAATTATCACCATTCTTATTGGATCTGATTGTGGCAATAGGCTAGTGCGAGTAATAGAACTATCCGAGTGAAATAAGAATACCACAGATGCCCCACCATCAACCAGAAGCGGGTAGAGCCCAGTCACATGTGGGGAAATGGAAAAACCTAGGGACGTTGAGACTTCACCCCTCATGCCCACTATATAGATGAGTAGCCCGAGGCACAGGGAGCAGCAGCGCCTGGCCTGAAGTCACCTGCAACTCCCACCTCCCCGACCTGGACCTCTCCCCACCCCAGAGGGCAGCTTGGGGCGGAAGGGCAGCACCCTGCAGGACTCCCTCCCTCCCTCCGGGGCAGCTGGGCCCCCGCAGGGCCAATCGGGTAGGCCGCGGCGCTGGCGAGAGGGCGGCCCGCGGGCGGGCGGGGAGGCCAGGAGAGGTTATTTTCTGCTGTTTTCCCTTTCTCTCTCCCCCTCCACCCGGGTCCCTCCTCCCCGTTTCTAATTAAAAAGGAGATAAAGCCACACGCGGTCCCAGCCAATCGGCCTGACCGGCTTCCTGGATGCTGGATGTGCGCGGCGCGGCGGGGCGGCGGGGCTCGGGCCAAAATGAAGATTAAAGCAGGGGAAAAAAGAAAAGCCACCCAGACGCGGGCGAATCAATAACACTTAAAACACACCGGCAGGCTGGCGGTACTGGCGCGAGCCCCGTAGCCGCCTCTTCGCCGCTGGTCGGGCTGGCGGCCCCTGGTCTGCTCTGCACGCACCTGCTCGCGGCAGCAGCCCGACAACTTGCGAAATCCCCGCTCCAGAGACGTGGACTGGGGAAGTGACGGGGTAGGGGGGTAGTAGTGACAAAACACAAAGGATCCTCACACACACCCCCTAGCCGCAGCCCCTGCGGTCCACCGCTCCTCAAAAGGGGCGGTAGGGGGTTCACTGATGGGGGGTGGAGGGGCAGGGTGTTCGAGACCTACCAAGCGGGCCCTTCAGCGCCAGAACCTCTATCCATGCCTAGACTCCCCTCGCCCCCCCGCCGCCCACTGCTCCGAGCTTCACACGCGTTATGTCTTAAGTACAAAGAGTGACCGGCTTTGCACAAGCAGCTCCAGGACTCGTCCCGAGCTGCCCCCTCCCACCTTCCAGCCAGAGCGCCCCCGAGCACCACCTCCACAGAAACGTTGGGTGAAGCCAGAGGGCTGCTCGCGCGCCCGGCAGCCTCTGCTGCCCAGTTCAAGGGGGCGGGGTGTCCCGCCTCTCTCTAGCGCTTGTCTCCCTCGGTGTCTCGGGCCGCCTCTTGTCCCACCTTTGTGTGTGTTTGTTGGGGGCGGGACGTGCTGTCCCCTTGGCCCGGGAAGGGGCTCTGGGAGTCTAAGGGTCCCTGGAAATCGAGTGGTGCCAAGGTTCCGAGCGGCAGTTTATGTTTTTGCCAGCGAAAGTCCTTCCCCCTGGGTACCTGTTCCCTGTTTGCACGGACCGGCCCCGCCAGCCACCTGGGGACTGCTCAGTCTGTAGGAGCGGCTGTGCCGCGCCTCCTGAGAGAGTTCCTCTCGGGCTCCGGGGACTGAGCTCCCCGAGAGCGGCTGTGGACCTGGCTTGATGTTCCTGCTAGACCTGCTGTCCCTATGCCGGGGTCCGAAGGGTCCCCGGGATGGGCTGAACCTTTGCAGCAGCTAGCCCTCCCCCAGACTCCCTCAGGCTGGAGCGTCCCTACCGGCTGTCTCTGGTCCTGGGAGATTCCAGACTCAGAAGTCCTCAGGATGGCCAGTCCCCCTGCCTATATCTCCTGGGGCGTCCGCCTGCGGGGGGCCTTTGTGCGTCCACCGCTCCCACACCGCACCCACCCGGCCTCTCAGAGAAGCTGTGGAAGTTGGTGGCCGGCAGAGGCTCTCAGGCGGCACACCTCCCTCCCCGGGCCGTGCCAACTTTGCCAAGACACGCGCGGAAAGGGCGCAGGCAGCCCTTACCCGATCCGGAGGTAGACCATGCCCAGGCTGAGAAAGAGGTGGCCCAGGCAGCGCCGCGCTTTCCGGTTCATAGTCCCGGTTGGCCGCCGGGGCCGCGGGCCGGGCTGTGCTGATCCCGCGGGCCGGCCCCGGCGGGGCAATCAACATAGCCCGCCCGGGAGGCGCGGGCCGAGGCGTCCCCGGGGCCGTCTGTCCGTGCGCCCGTCTGCGCGCTCGGCGCCTGAGCCTCGCCAGGAGCGCGGGAGCCACGGAGCGGGAGGAGGGAGGGAGGAGCGAGCGCGGCGTGGGGCGACGCCGGGCTGCGTGCGAGCGACCGGTGCAAAGTGTGCGAGACGCGGGTAGTGCGGGGGCGCTGCTGCCTCCCGCCCCCGCCCCTCCCTCCTTTCCCCCGTCCCTCCCCCACCCCCTCCCCCGCCCGCCTCCCCGGAGCGCCCGCCCCGAGCCCCTGCGCCCGCGGGACAGGGCCGCCTGCACCAGGCGCGCGCTTGTGCCTTTCCATGCGCGCTCCCGGGGGCCCCCTCCCTGCTCTGGGGTGCAGGTGGGAGGCTAGCGAGCACAGCCTGTTTGGAGGCAGGAGGAGCCCGCTCGTCCCTCACCCGTCACTAACTTGCAGGTTGCAGGGCGAGTGGGCGTTGAGAGGCTGCCCTCGGGTGGAGTGGACCAGACTCGGCCGAGAGCCCTAGTGCCTTGGTCTGCTGCCCCGCTCGCTCAAGCCCGGAACAGGGCAATGGGGCTGACAGAGCACACCCCAGTTCCCCAACCCCAGCTTCAGGGAAGGGCGCCCCCTTTCGCGGAGCGACTGGCGGACTGGCTCAGCGTATTTCTTCCCTACCTCCACCTATTCGAGGGTGTGGCAGGGGGTGGCAGAAGATACTTGGGCAGCCCTCTCTGGGATCCTGCTGTTAGCCGACAGACGGAGTCGGGCTGAGGCCCAGGCACCCCGCGCGGAACAGCAGTGGGGCGCCTGAGCCGCGGGAGTGTGAGGGGCGCAGCTGGCCGCTCAGAGCACGCTCGCGGCGACACCAGGCGGACGCGGCGGGTGGTGCACCTTGGCCTCGCTCCCGGGAACAGAAAGCTTTAAGTGCCCTGGCCTATCCCAGGGGGCTGACCCCCTACTTTGGTGTACACCCCATTCAGTGAGCAGGGGGAGTCTAAGTGTCACTGGAAATTGGGTGGTGCCAAGACTCCGAGCGGCAGTTTATGTTTTTGCCAGCGAATGTCCTTCCCCCGGGTACCTGTTCCCTGTTTGCACGGACCGGTCCCGCCTGCCACCTGGGGGATGTCCAGTCTCTAGGAGCGGCTGTGCCTGCGCCTCCTGAGAGTGTTCCTCTCGGGCTCCAGGCACTGAGCTCCCTGGGAGCGGCTGTGATCCTGGCTTGGTGTTCCTGCTGGACCTGCTGTCCCTATGCCCGGGTCTGGCAAATCTGAACTCAGGTTTCAGCTGAAGACACCGAGGCTCAAGAGGGTGAAGGTGTTTGCCCAGAGTCAACAGCTAGTGAGTAGCAGAACCATATGGGAAACAAAGTATGCCCAACTGTAGTAATCTCCTGCACCCAGGCTTGCCTATCCTTCAAGATTGCCTTTCTAAATTACACATACACACACACACGCGCGCCACCATTCAGGCATTCACTCACATTCCATATTCTGTGCCAACCACGATGGTGGGCACCGTGGACATAAGGAAAAAGAAAGGCTAGAGTCTTTCCTCTTGGGTCCAGGAAGGAGGCAGATCATAAGTGAACAAGAACAGGAGTTACAGATAGTAGACCATTAAGCAGGGTGATGGGAGAGGGAATACTGGGTGTTGGAGGGTTAATTTTAGATCTGAGGAGGTGGCATTTGAGCTGAGGCCTGAAGGACACAGCATCAGGGGTCCAGCACTGCACGAAGGGTACCGGCAGGTGCAAAAGCTCAGGGGTGGGCATAAGCCCCGGAGAGGAGATGGTGGGCTATGATAGAGAGAGAGAGAAGGCCTGAGCTTGAAGGGAGATGGGCTACGCAGATCCACAAGGCTGTGTGGGCACGTCAAGGAGCTTGGATTTCAGTGGTGTGTTCAGTTGGGGACATTGGAAGGATGAAGAAGAGGGTGACTGATCTGATTTGTGTGTTCAAAAGCTCCCTGTAGCTGTCCTGTGGGAACACACTGCGGGAATGGGAACAGGTGAGTAAAGTGCACCGTCAAGCAGACCAGAGAGGAGATGACAGTGGGGATCCAGGTGAGACATTGGTGGTTTTGGGTTAGGGTGGTGCTCTTAGAACATGACCACAAAATTATTTGACACTCCTCCCATGAAGAAGTGGGTTCTCTGTGCTCTCCCTGCGTGAATCTGGGTGAGCTTGTGACGGCTTCCACCGATAAGATGTAGTAGAAGTGATGCTCAAAATTACAAGTCTTCATGATAAAAGACAATGCAGTCTTTGTTTTGTTGGCTGGAGCACCAGTGCTGGGGCCCTGAGCCACCATGGTAGAGGCCTAGAGGCCACCAGGCTGTGAGGAAGCTCAGGCATAGGCAGAGGACACCTGTGCTTGCTCCAGCCCATAGTCCCAGGTGAGTTCAGCACTGGAGTCACCTTGCTCAGGTGCCAGAAATGTGGGTGAAGGTACCCCCACCATCGTGTCATGCTGGCTTTGTGTCTGCCAAGCTAAGGCATGGTGGACGGTGGCTGTGTAGTACACCCAGTGTACCCTGCCCAACTTCCTGAGCCCTATAACTTGTGAATATGATTGTTTTACACCACTAAGTTTGGAGGCGGTGCTTATTACACAGCAGTTGTAACTAGGACAATAAGGGTGGAAGTGGGGTGCAGAGAGGAGAAAAGGACCCAGGATACGGGGCGGGGCCTGTGTCTTGCACAGACAGGACTTAAAAGGATTCAGGGGAGAGGGTGGAGGGGTACAGAAAGAGAAAGAGGAATGATAGGTGACCCCGATGTTGGCTGGAGCATTTGGGTGAATGGAGGTGCCTTGTAATGATCTGGAGATGGTTGGAGAAGCTAAGGGTTTGGTAAAGTAAATCACAAGGTCTGTCCTGGCCATGTTCTTCCTTCTGGCATTCTTCCTCCTCCTCTTCCTCCTCTTCCACCCACAGATGCAGTCAGCACAAGCCCTGAGCAGTCTACCTCCAAAGAATGTCTCAAATATGACCTTTATTTTCTGCATCCACCATCATTCCTAGACCAAAGTTTCACTCATGTCATGAATGCTGGGATGTACTTGTGACCCAATGTCAGGCCAGGTGCTAGGCACATACCAACAGCTCAGTACAGGTGCTGGGTGCATTGGAAGGTGAGGGAGGAGGAGGAAGAAGAGGAGGAATACAGGAGGGAAGAATATGGCCAAGACAGATCAGTAGATCAAATAAACCCAGTCTCTGCCCCTCCTGGAGCAACCCATCTGAGGACCGATTTCATGATCAAACATATAGGTAGCACTATTACATGCCAGGCACTGTCATTTACAGCCTCAGCCTATCAACTCACTGAATCACCTGAAAATGCCAAGAGGCAGGTGCTCCACTTGTTGATATCATTATCACAGCCATCATTATTTGATAGTATGAGGAAAGTGAATCAGGGAGGGATTGAATAAAGTACAAAATTCCCACAGCCAGTCCATGGCCGAGCTGGGCTTCAAACCTAGAGAATACTGATTTCAGCATCTGCTCTTAATCTACCCCCCAGCCCCATTCGGCTGCGTATCTAATGGAGGAGGGCGAAAGACTTGGGACACTCCAGCAGGAAACAAGGTGTTAGGCACCAAGATGTGTGGTGCGCAGAGGGCTGTTGGAACACAGAGGAGCTCCTCATCCAGTCTCAGGGGATCAGGGAAGGCTTCCTGGAGGTAGTGTTCCTAAAGTGGGATCCTAAAAGAATGAACTAGTATTAAGCAAGTAGAGTTTTTGAAACCAGAGGAAACAGGGCCACAGAGGTTCAAGGTGCCTGGATATTGGGGTGTTAGAGGGAATAAGGGTGGAAGGAGATATGCAGGGAAGAGGCCCCATAGGGAGTTTAGGGACACAGGGCATATTAAGAGGGGCAGGGGTGTTACATGATCAGGTTTATGTTCCACAAGGTTCATGGTGGCTGTCGTGGGAGCCAAAGGAAGAGGCAAGAGAGGAGGGCAAGTCAGGAGGTCTCAATATTACCTGTGGGAGAGAAGGCTTACCCTGGACAAAACGGTGGCAGACGGTGGGGAGAGAAGGGGGTGGATTTGAGAGCGAGTTTGAAGGCAGGATAGACAAGATGGGGAAGGCCTCCAGGACAGTGTCCTGTCCTGTGAGAGTGTGGCTGGTGAGAAAAATACAGAATGGTGACCCAGAGAGCAGGAGGTCTCAGGGACTGAAACTTGGTTTTGGACATACTGAGTCTGAAGTGTCTGTAGGTCACTGAAGGGTGACTGGTGCTTGGGGAGAGGCTTTGGGCTGTTACTTCTAGGTTGGATATCCCCAGCTAGAAGTGGGCAGACATTCAAATCAAGGCAAGGAGAGGACGCCCTGGGAGACTAAGAAGGATGAGTGGGGAAGGCCCAGTGTAGAGGCCCAGGAATTCAGCATGATTTAAAGAACCAGCTGGGGAAATGGAGTGACAAAAGGTAACAAAGACAAGCCTGAGAGGCAGGGAGTTCATCAGAGAGTGAGAGAAGGAAAAGGAATTTGTAGTGTCTGGCTTCACAGGGAAGGAAGGAGAGGCAGAACTAAAAAGGGTTCCCTCTTATCAGCCTAGCATCCAGAGATCTTTATGGTCTAGCTCAAAATTACCTTTACAGCCTCCACTTTCCCCAAACACTTGTGCCCATATCACAACAAATTGGTGGGTTGCCACTAGCATTTATGAAAAGAAGTAGATCAGAAAATAACAGAGGACATTATGCATAAGGTTCCAACTGTGTGTGTGTGTGTGTGTGTGTGTGTGTATTGGATGTGTATGTGTATACTTTGTGGGTTGTGATTTTTTAAAAAGTTGAGAGACTACTACTGCAGCCTGTCATTCCTTTGCATATGTCTAGAATGCCTTTAGCTGTCTTTTATACCTGGTAAACTCCTAACTTATCCTCCAAATCCCACCCAAATGTCAACTCATCTGAAAAGCCTTCCTTGATCTACATTACTCCTATCCTAGGCACTTGGTCTCTTCCTCATTCAGTCAGTCATCAAACATTCGTTGAGGATTAAACTGTGCCAGTCCCTGGGCTGGGTTCACTGCTAGGGTACAGCAGTGAACACAATAGACATGATCTTTGAAGGGACCACCTTTT